AGTCTCTGGCAGAAGGCCCGTCTGGCCTGGGGTCTTTGCTTTCTGTCAGACCCAATCAGGTATAAATTCATCTTGATCGCTTTCTGTCACACAGCGTCAACACGACTCTGTTTTAGTAGCAAATATTCAGCGGACAGCGTGCATCGTTTCACAGCTTGTTCAAATACGTGAATAATGCTGATGTTAGAGAAGAGTCATCATTCAGAGCTTTTGGCAAGAAGGATTATATTGCTCGCTAAATTGGTTCAGGATGGTTCAGTTTTGTGGAAACGTACAAAAGCAAAGTTGTGAACCAGAAGTTTAAATGTTAATGGTGAAATTTGTGGAAATTGGTAAAGCGATAATGCCGTATTGTTTTCAGCAGTCTTTGCCTGGGGAAAAATGCAACTACAGTGTGTATGTGTGAGAATCATGACTTGCTGTGTTAGTGTCTTGTGTACAACCAGGCAGTGAGCACTCACATTTTCAGAGTAACTCTACCATTTCTTTCTAAATGATGATGTCTGTAAATCTATAAAACCATTGTGGCTTTCAGCAACTCTGAGATTAAACCTCAGAATTATAAAATGTTGTTGGTTATGGAGACTTAAAGGAATACAAGTATGTTTTTAAAGCTTATGCTGGAGACCAACCAGGCAGTTTGCTAAAGTTTATTTAAGCTTCATGCTTACTACTGTGTCAAAGTTCAGCAACTGGAATGTTGGTTTCTATACTGAAAACCTTAAACGTCAATGTTAATCCAGACTCTGCTAGCATTGCACTAAATATAATTAAGAAAATAAATGCTTCTAAGGTTGTGTTGCATCCTATATAAAGACGTCCTGTGCCACTTCCTTTTCACTGTTAAATTGACTGCTGTGTCATGTTTCAGTAAAGAGGATGTGGAGAAGTGCAAACAGAAGGACCTGCTTGAGCAAACAATGTCAGAGATGATTGGAGAGTTTCCTGCTCTCCACAAAACCATCGTGGCTGAAAGAGACATCTACCTCACACACACTCTCCGACAGGCTACTCGCTGTGTGGAGTCGCCCCCTAATGACCAGAGTGCGTATTACAATCCTCAAAAAGCTAGGACAATAGATTGGTTTCATCTTATGTTATTATACATTCGTTGGCCAGTTCATTAGGTACCCCTGTTCAAATGCTTGTTTACACAAAACTCTAATCTGCCAATCAGATGATAGCAACTGTATGTAGGCATGTAGACATGGGCAAAACAATCTGCTGAAGTCTAAACAGGCATCAGAATAGGCAAGAAAGGACCTGCCATAAGGTCTAAGTGTAACTGTGGATTCTAAGTGTTTCAGAAACTGTGCAACTACTGGGATTTTCCCACATGGAAATATCTAGTGTTTACAAAGGGCCAAAAAAACAGAAAATATTCAGTGAGTGACAGTTCTCTGGGTGAAAATATTGTGTCTTGTTGATGACAGAGGTCAGAGGAGACTGGCCAGACTGCTTTCAGATGATTAGGAAGGAACACTAACTCAAATAGATATTTGTTATAATCAAATTATGTAAAAGATCATTGTTGGACACACATCAAACCTCCAAGCAGATGCGCTACTGCAGCATTATACCAAAATGCAACTGTAGCGGTCATGTCAATATGGGCCCAAATCTCGGAGGAATGTTTCCAGCACCCTAGAAAATCTGTGCCATGAAGAATTAAGGCAAAAGAGGGTTCAACTGTGTTTAACTAATGAATTGGCCAGTGAATTTCACTGTACAGTTTTAAAGTCTCTCTTTCATTCTTATATGGGTGTTAATTCCTTTTTTCCAGTCACTTATAACAGCGGTCCCCAACCTCCAGGCCTCGGACCGGTACCGGTCCGTGAGTCGTTTGCTACCGGGCCGCAAGAGTTGAGGCTCAGGTGTGAAATGTATAGTTTTCAGGGTTTTTATCGGTTTTCAGCGTTATTTTGTTATCGTTTTTATCGTTTACTCGGTTTTCCTGGGTCTTTTCACGTGTGTTATGAATAAATCTTCTTTTTTTTCGGTACCGGTACTAGTTTTATTTTGTTGTATTTATCCGCGACACCTTAAAGGCCGGTCCATGAAAATATTGTCGGGCATAAACCGGTCCGTGGCGCAAAAAAGGTTGGGTACCGCTGACTTATAAAATACTTTTTTGTCCGTTTAGTTTGTGGTTTAAAAAACATTGCTCAATATAATTGAAACTAAAGAGTCAAAACTTTATTTTAGCTGTTAAGTACTGTGCACATATCTGTCGTCAGATATGTGGCTCGCTGACCAGTAATGACGGTGTGGTTTTAATGTGGTGCAGACATTTAATGGAAATGCTTAGTCATCTTTTGTAACAGTAAGTCATTCTCTTCTGTTTTTGCTGAATAAACTTAGAAACTAAATCTGTATTCATTGTGAAACTACAAAAGTGGTTATGGATGTTGTAGTTTGACAGTAACGTATATGTTTTGCAGTAGTGAGAAGTTTCTGAATAGTTAAACAAGAGAAAGCTTTGCAAATTCGGAGATTTGTGTTATTTTTAAATGTAAAAGTGGAGATGTACCCAAATAACCAATGCTTTTATGCATCAACATTTCCGAGTGTAGAAATTGTTTATGCTATCATTGTTCTTTTTGTAGAAGTGCCTGCTGTGGTGGTGGGAGTCGTAGGGATGGGTCACGTCCCTGGCATAGAACGAAACTGGGACAAGCAGCTTAATATTAATGAAATCATGAGGTATGTTTCGCATATTGTTCGTACGCAGTAAATTACACCATAAATCCATAAACATAATCCTTTTGTGTTTGATTTGGCATTACAACCGTAACTCTGCGTGTCTCTGTCTTCCCTAGTGTCGCACCTCCCTCACGCGTCGGCTGGGTGTTGTGCGCTGTCATAAAGGGCGTCATGATGGGAATGCTGGGATATGCCTGTTATCGTGTCGGTGGAAGTTTAGGTAGAGCCCTGCTGTCTTTACCTCCAGTCCGATCTTTACTGGAGACACTGCGGCCTCTTCCTGCTTGACCCAACTGGTCTTCTCTAAGCCATCTGTGAAACAGAATTATGATCTATTAAAACAATGCATCCATCACCAATGGCCTTAAAATCAGGTGTCAGGTGAGGCTGGAGGAAGAGGGTTCACCAGCCCATATTGTGAACTAACAAGGACCTAATGGAGTTCAGAGCTCCCCACTTTATAATGATGTCTCTGTAGACACAACAGGGCTGTACTGCCAAAGAAACCATGACAGTACTCTTGAGTACCTTGCATATTTTGTGCAAATTCATGCATATATATA